GTCCATCTCCAGTGACGGTTTGTGGTTGATTCCAAGAACTTCTGTTAGAATGGGTGGGCACATCACCAGAAAAAACTCATTCAATTTTTTTTCCCAGTTTCCATTTTTGTCTAGGGATGACAAAAAAATTGGTCCTAGGCTAAAAAAGGATGAGGAATCCAATAAAAAAATTTTCATCCACCTCTGGCAATGCCTTGTGGTTGACTCTGAGAACTTTTGTTAGAACCCAGTACGCTCAGGTAAACTCAGGCAAACAACAGGTAATTGTAACAGGACAAATAGCTCTGCACAACCGCCATAAGGCAATCCCAATCTCTGAATGATGTATTCCCGAAGTCTTTGGGACTTCGTCCCGGCTTCCGCTGCCGGAGATCTGTATCAGGTAGCTACTGACCCGGTTTCCTACAATGCGGCAAACCGGGTGCCTATCCGCTTCTGGATCCCTGCGCTGCTTGTTGCTGCGTGGCGTGCCCAAGCAAGGATGCTGCGCTCCGGTCACACCACGTGGATGCAACCCCACACCTGCATGCAGATAAAATAAAGTCCACTTGTTATTATTGCATTCGAACTAGTCAATAACTTTTCATAAACAAAATAAGTAACCCCTTCTTAAGTTGTCCAATTAAATTTTTTTTTTATCACGAAGTTCTCGAGACATTTTGGGCATCAAAAACATGGTTTTTTTTTCATTGAAAGTAATTCAAGCTATTAATCTATACTTTTCAGAAAGGAGCTTTTTGGAGGCAAAAAGGTGTGTCTCACACCTGGGTGGTCGAGAAATCCGAGCTTTTTCGCAGACCCGAGTCAGTTCGGAATCCGCCAAATCAAATCCGCGATTCGAGGATGCGCTCATGGAACAAAAAAAGCTGTCGGATCAACAACAGCGTCCGAAAATCACGCCTTTTTCAGCTTTCAATCATGAAATGGCGTCGATGACACGGAACAGTGAGAATCGAAAACTGCGAAAAGGCTCAACGAACCGTTGTTAACTACAGTATATATCTGAATCAGTTGGTGCTTTCGATATACTTTACCATGAAATGCAATGCTTTTTTTGTTCCTGTGTACGTACGTGTTCCTTGATTTCGCTTTTAATAACGAATGTATTTTTCTTCCATTTAGTAGAGTTTATTGTTGTTCAAAAATCCGAGAATGTGATAGTAAAATGAAATTCCGGTGGTGTGAGAAATTGGATTTTAATCGACAGATCAATTCTCTATACTGACTTATTTCCACTACAGTTTAAACTTTCAAAATTTGAGAGTTTTTTATTAGGAGTGTCGTTAAGCAGAACGTGACAATGAGTCTTCCTCCTCCTGCTCTGCCTTAAAAAAAATTAATTCCCAAGTGAACATTTGTGCTTCGAGCGATATGCCGTTTTCTTCGCTAATCAACGCGAAATTGAACACCTGGTTTTCGAGATAAAAACGCAAACAAGAAAATTAGTAGATTATCAGTAATTTGCAACGTCACACAATAAATGCGAAAAGTTCTTCCAACTTCGTAACGCTCAGATAACAATAACTTATTGTCTTCAATTGAGTATCTTTCCCCGAAACAAATGCATAATTAACGTCATTACTTTGAGCTAGAAGAGCGATTCGTGCGTTAAAAAAAAAACATTGTCTGCGTAAATTTATGCTTTTTAGTGAGAATATTTTCAAGAATATGTGCGCATCAGTTCTCGGAATAAGTTTATGTGATTCACAAATGGGCGGCTCAGAGAACGCTGCATAAAAAGGTCAATGTTCTCGGATTTCCCATAGTTCCCTGAGCAAAGTCTGGGATCCCTAAATGTGATATTGAAGATATAAGTATACAGTACAGTCAAATCCCAATAATAAGACGCCACCATTCGTCCAGAGCAATTTTGGTGGTTCAAAGGCGTTGGCGGTTTATTGAATATTTCATTTTAAATTATTTGATCAAAAATACTCAATTTTCCTCCATCAGTCATAGAGATACTGTAAAAATTTCCTAGAAACTTCAGTGATTTTCCAGAGTATTGCTGTGATCAATGGGTTACTCTTTCAGAAAATTAATTTTGCTGCATCAATTTATTCAAATTTTAAGATTAGGTCTATATATTGTTCAAATTTTTCAAAAAAATGATCATTATTATTTTTTAATCTTACAAATACAAGATCCTTGACAGGAATTATAATTCTACCCCAATGTTGGCATTGTAACACAGAAAAAAACTAATAGGAAACAGCACTTTTATTTCATCACTAATGCTGGTGGATGGCAGTTGGCGTCTTATCAAGGTTTTCTATAGAATTTAACATGGAGGAGATTTGTTTCATTAAAAATGTTGGCATTTGCCAAGGGTGGTGCTTTATTGGGGGGCGTCTTAATGGGGTTTGACTGTACAATATCATTATTTAGACGTTATTAAAATTAAAAGAAAACATGAAAACAATCGTGTTTCTCGCGATTTGCGGAGTCGCTTTCGGCGCATCGGAAACTAGAGATTCGATGTCGAACAAACCTTTCAGAAACGCAGCCAGGTGAGTCTTATAAATTAAATCGTGCTTCAATTATTCCAGTTATTATCCGGTACATCATATTATATATTTAAAAAAATAAATTCTTCTCGTGCCGATCGAATTATGTTTTGCATCTTTGATCTTTTTTCCGTCGTCCTCAAAAAACAAAAAGCGATGGGAGCAAACAAGATCGTTTCCAGGCTGTGCAATTATTCAGCGAACATGGACAAGCCGGAATCATTGCGACTCTTTACGCAGAATACTGCGGTGATTTGTCACAATGCTTCGAAGTTTCCCTGGACAACACTATTTCCAGTGCACGGGTTTTCGGAATGTGAGTCTTGAAAATGTGTAAGCCAACACGTTTGAACTTTTCTTGATCGCAACAAATTTGACTGACCCATGTTATACTCCAGCTGTTGACACAGGGCCCATCAAATTAATCATATATAGCATAAGTATTTTCAGTGGATAAAAAAATAATAAATATCTCTTTTTGGAAATCTGAGCCAAGAATATCGTTTCCGTTTTTACAGATGTTTATTTTTATAATTTTTTAAAGTGTTTGTGATAATCTGCACCTCACAGTGCTGGGGAAATTTGTCTACCATATATAGAAGACCTTGTGCTTTAAATTAATTGCTACTGCCGATATTTGGATGTGGAATCTTATTGATTGAACCTTGTGAACGCTGAAAAACGGAAAATGAAGCATTCTGTTCATTCATTCATTCATTCATATATAGATGCTAAATTTTGAAGCAGCAATAAAGGGTAAATTTATTTTATAACTAGCTATATGCACTTCCTTCTGAAATGCATCAATAAGTTACATTCGCATTATTCTTCCATTTTCTTGCTCAACAACAGAATATTTTCCGGAAGGCCTACGAAAATGCGAGTCAGGCTTGAACAGGAACTGAATATAAATAAAATTGACAAATTAATCGAGATTTTTGACCTATTTGCTGAGGAGGTTCGACGGAGTTAGCAATGTCCAACTATGTATTCGTAAATATAATTTTTTTCTTTCTGATCACAGCTGGCTGTTTTATGACGGATACTCGTACGGATTGAACGACGATTTGGACGTGATTTGGGTGTGGGGTGACGATTCCTACTACGACTTCGAACGTCTGGACAACGCTGTTTCTTCAGTGCGATTCGTTGGACCTGAAGCCGATTTCCTCGGGGATTCCGTCACCTTGTTCAGCAGTGAAGTGTTCAAAGCCTGGGAATACTTCATCTTTGAGGATATGGCGCAATTGCCCGGATGGACTTATTTCACTGACTCCTTGATCGTCACTGGATCCAGCACATGGACCCTCTATGAGTAAGGTTTATTGTTGAAAATTAAAAATTTTCCACCTTATCTATAGAAGGTAAAGTAAAAATATATAGTGGGGGAATCTGGCGGTTGATGGGTTTTAAAAATAATAAAGGAATACCTAAAAAAAATGACGCGGTGACTTTTTCTAGATGATCAAATATCACAGTAATTGAATGCAACATCGAGCTTTTTTTTGAACAGAGGAAAATTCTTCGATAATGATAGTACAGTACAATACAGTATAGTGGGACTCCATTATATGGATGCCCCAAAATGCTGACAATTTGACTTACAGGCACTTGAAACTCAAAAAAATTTAGACAATGTCTCAAAATATGGACCCATGGCAAAAAAAATGTTACATTCTTAATAAATCTCAAACAGTTTGAACTATACTAAAATATGTTCATGAAGTAAAAATAACTATTTCTGTAGTATGAATTTATGCTAATACATTTTCCAAAACAAATGAATTTAGGTACAAACGAGAAAATAAATATTTCCGGCGAGAACTCGATTCTGTCTCGAAATTGTCAAACATCACTTTAAATATCATAGAAGCCTCATGAGAAAGATTTCATCCATATATTGGGCTGGACTTTTTACGAGGTAGTATAAATTAATTTTGATCCAATCACAGATACGAGTTCTACCAAGGAAGAAGCGTTTGCGTGGGACCTGCTGATAACGATGGCAACCCTGGTCTATATCCAACTGTTGCAACCATCGGATTAGGCCAGGACATCACTATTAGTTCTGCTAGACGAGGCTGCTTCAACTCAGTGGAATCAAAGCCGATTAAAATCGAGAAGAACGTCGTTTATTCATCCAAGGACTTCTTATAAAACTGTGAAGTTTTTTCTCGTATTTTTAGGACTTTGGTCTGGGTCGCTCAATAAAAAAACATTGCCCACAAATTTGCGTGTTCAGGTTATTTTCTGAAACAAATGGATTGCGTGCTAAATATTTGTTTAGTCGATTGTCCTGCTGGTGGATCGGTTTTTGCTCAAGTTTCCAGATCAGATCATTCCGGAAAGGATGTTTCGAGCATGAGAAATCATCGCCGATTCCAATCGAAAAGAATCTCGTCTATTCTTCGACGGACTTTTAATCAATTCATCCATTTCACTTAGATTGAGTTACTGTAACGACAAATAATACGCTGCTTGTTGCATCTTTGAAAAAAATGCCAATGACTTGAATCAAACGTCGCCCTTGTATTTTCACACGCAAAAAAAAAGCATCACAAATTTTCCGACTTTCTGAAAAGTATCAAAATTTAAAATAACGAACTCGTCAGCGACTCGACCTATCCGGATTTTTAAACATACTTAATTTCACGGGCATTTCGGGTCACAGCATTTTCATTGGACTTTCGCTCCTGCTTCAGTGGTATTTTACACATATTTTCAACGCGTCGAATCAGTATAGGTCGCAAAATATCAGGAAAAATGTCAGCCCTGTGTAATACAGTTATTTTCACTGATGTTCTTTCGAAAGAATTGTTGGCGTTGCATTCCTACTAACGCAATATTTATTACGTTAAAGTTCGGCTGTAGGAAATTCTTTTGCCAAGCAAACGAATTTTTAAAGATTGAAAATCCATTTCATCAGTTTTCTTGACACCAGCAAGCCAATGTTTATTTTTTGAGCATTCAGAAAATCTCTTTGGACAAACTACGAACAAAGAAAATTTTTTTCTGGTGTTCGTCAGCGGAGAAATCTTCGTTTCCTCAAATTTCTCAGAAGTCCTTCATATGCAATAAACTATTAAAATTTCCAGCGAATTAATCTAGAATCCTAGATGCAATTGAATTTCAAAAACAAATAATGTGCTATATTATGTAGCAAGTCTTTTTCTTGTAGAAAACATCATTCATGGAAACTTTCTCTTTCTCAAAATTCTGCTAGCATCAGTAAAAATGCAGACAACATCCCGTCGATCCTCAGAATACTGATGTATATCTCAAAATTGGGAACACAGAACAAAAACTTGTACACTTGAATTTAAAGCAGAGTGATCTCTAATCCCTCAATTTTCTCAAAATGCCTTCGCGGAACGACTCAAGATTTTTTTTTCAATCAAACAAATAGGGATTTAATTCAGTATCGCCTTGATATATCTACCAAGGTCTCCACATGCTGTCAGGAACATCTCCGTCACTGCGACGACCTTTCTTCCACATCGTAGCTTTCGCATGATCAACATCCTTCATCGCCGTTAAAACAGGTTCAGACACGAATTTCCGCTTGTTTGGACCCAATGACGACGATGCAGAGGCATCAACTGAAGACACTTGTGATGTGTCAGGGCGTTTGGGTTTCAAAGACAAATCCTCGGGTCCTGACACCTGACCCGAACCAGAAATCTTCTCATCCTCGTCATTGTTGTTGTTGCCATTATTGTGATGCGTGTCGATGACGTCCCGTCGAGGAATGACTGTCGTGAAAGCACTGGCTTTCGAAGTCCGTAGGTCACAAGGACCAGCAGTAGCTGTCACAATAAGAGACGCTGGCGTGGTATTCCGGCATGTAGATGCGCTTTCATATTCGAGGCGCTTCCGAGCAGCGACATCTCGGTCAAGAATACGCATTCGTTCAGTCTTGTCAATTTCATCATCGTCATAGGTGTCAATCGTATCGTCGTCAGGGGTGCCGTCGACGCGTTCGGTCGCGCTTGGTTTGCTGGAAATGGACGACGGATGTGGGAGCACCAGGGCGATTTCTCCGGTTGGAAGGCGGCTGGCGATGACGTTTTGAAGATTCCCAAGGAGCTTTGCAGCTACTGCAGATGCTTCTGGTGCGGGTTCTGAAAGATTCACTGCTGTCGAGATCAAGCCAAATGTTTCTGCTGGGAGTTCCCCAGATGATTTCAACTGCAAATTAAAAAAAAGAAAAGAAATCACGGCGATGAATTTTTTTTTTTGTCACTGGCACCTTGAAGTTCAACTTGAATAGGTACGACTGTATTACTAATTTTTTATACAGTATTTCGAAAACCACCTACCACAGGAATTTCAATCGCAGGATTAACAGCTACTCGATCGTTAGCAGCAGTAGCAGACGCGTGTCCCGAGTTGGCGGCTGCTTGCTGCAGCAGGACGCCAGTCGGGATGTTCACGTTGGCCGCCGCCAGACTCGGCGCCGCCATGGCGGTGAAGGCCAGCGGCGTGAGTGACTGCAACCCGGCCACACAGGCTGTCAAGTGGGTGGACATGCGGGTTCGCAGCCCCGTGTCGCAACCCTCGATCCGGGTCATGTACCGACTGGCTTCCGTTGCACACTCGGCGAACCCGGTTTTGAATTTGCCCAGCACCCGGGGATCTCGGGCCACGGCCAGGGCCAGTTGGGCTCGTTGCACGTTCTGCAAGTGCTTGACGGTCATTTCCAGAATGTCGGCTTTCTCCAACTTTGAATGACGGGACGGCTATTTAAAAAGAAAAGCCGGATCAATTCAGAGTAAAGAAAATATCGCAAAAGTGATGTATACGCAAAATAAGCATGTATTTTTCCTTTGCTTGACTCGGATTGTCCCTTAATTTATCAAATTAAATGAAAAATGTCAGTGTCAGAAATGTAGGTGTCAAGATTGCTTTGAAGAATGACAATAGATGATTGGAACCAGCATAAGTCGGAAGTTTCTAAGGCATTCGTAATATAATGTGTACCTTTATTCCGAACAAATATCCACGAATCAAAAATGAAAAAAACAAGGAAACCGAAGCAAATTTTTAACTCAACAATTAGCACCGCGAAATGGGCATTTCTGTGCAGATAAGGCTTATTTAAATCATGAGAATTTTTAAAATTGAGGACATGAACATATTTTCTCGATTACAGGTGAACCTCGCTAAGCCGAACCTCTTCAAGTCAAATACCTCCCTAACTCAAATTTGTTTTCAAGTCCCTGTCTGGATTCCCATAGAAACAATGTATTAAAAACCTCCCGAACTCAAAGTAGTTTTCCCTCAAACCTCTATAAGTCAAATTTTCCGAGGCCTTTTGGTCATTATTTCCTTGAAATATGAAAGAGAAAATCAACAAAACAAATTATTTTATGCGTTTTGAAATAAAGTGAAGGACTAATTTAACAAATGAACCCCTGCCTAAAAGTTCAGCAAGCTATAAACTCATCAAGAAGCAAGTTTAGGCCCAGAATATCCTCATCTACAATTTCCCATTTTCCTTGCAGCAAAAATATTTGCTTCCTTTCCTCAAAAAATCCCTAAGTCGAAACCTCCCTAAGTCTAATTTTTTTCCTGGTCCCTAGAAATTCGACTTATAGAGGTTCAACTGTATAATGTAAAAAATAATATTCCCCAAATAACTCAGAAAGCCCAATAATATAAAATGTTTCTCACAGTCCCTTCGAATCCCCATGGGATCACTCCAATAGGAAACAAAAGAATTTTCCGAAAACGGAACATTTTTATTCCAAACGAACATAATTTCCGAAGACGGAAAATTTGAAGGCAACAAGATGAAATCGAAAAGAAAAAAACTCACGTCTTTTTTCATGGCGTCCAAAATAAGCGACTTGAGATCTGTCAAGCATGTGTTGATTCTCGCACGGCGCCTCTTTTCCATGACCGGCTTATTGCTCTGCTCACGATCACCAAACGAACATCCGAATACAAAGAAGGAAATTCTGAATTACGAAAAACGAAGGCTTTCCCCGGGATTCTCGTGAGAATCCACCTCATCACGGATACCGCAAATGCGTTAAGAAAAAAAAAGGAGCTCAACAGAAAGAAATGCTTGCCAATATTGTTTTTCCCACGGTATCGCAGTAGTACTGAGGATACGGAAATGTGGGCATTCGTGGCCCATATCAAGAAGGGATCGTGAAAATAATTGAAGAAAACTTTTTCATTTTGAGATAAAATAACTGAAACTCAAAGAGCACAATATACTTTCGGATCATGCGAACTTTTTTAATGTGCTATTTCAATTAAATATTTATTTTATTCAGATAAACACACCAACACAGGATTTAATTTCTATATACATACTGAATAGATTTTTATGATCATCATATTAAATAAACTTAAAATGTTTTTACGGGCATGACTTTTGAAGTTGCATTTATAACAGCGCAGAATAGACACATCCTCATTTACACAGCGTGAAATACTTTTTTTTAACAAGATTTCCAAGAGGTAATCATAAATTTTCATTTTTCTGATTAATTTATATTCCCTATCAGAAAAGTAACAGCGAATTTCCCCATTTTTGGGAGATTTTTCTGCGTCATAAGATTAAGACTGCACCGATTGACAACAAAAAAACCGAAAAATTTTCAGTAATTACAGTAGTCAATTTCTTTATTTTTGTTTTCGTCCGCATTTGATTCAACGCAGGAAGAGGAACCTTTGGAGTAGTTTTTAAATTTTGGAAGAGCTGATTTTAACTGTGGATAAGCAGCGGTTGGATTTGAAATACACAATTTTTACAGAATGTTTTTCGACGTGTAAATTGCCAATATAAAAATGCGTTAAAATTCCTAAAATAAATTGTAATGAGCAGATCTGACGTGTCGAAGGTCATATAGGCTAAGAGCGTAGGTGGAACTTGAGCAATTTTTCCAATTCCTCGAGTGTTTAAATTTCGAGTCCAAAACTTTTTAAAAAGCCATTCATATAAAAAAATCGTTCGGTAAAAGGTTTCAAGATTATTACACGAAAAAGAGGAAATATAAAAGCGATTTTTTAAAAATAACTCACCCGACGACCGTCGACACGAGAAGGAGTAGCTGACGCGGAATCACTCAGGAAACCCATGGTGCTGGTGACAGACTGGTGCGTTGGTGACGAGTCAACACACGTCGACCCTGTCGTTGACGCGTCCGGACCCGACGTCGTCGACATTCCCATGAAATGCCCGCGTCCTATCGACGGGTCACACGGAACTTGGACAGTCGTTTGACCGAACTCGTGAATCGGCATCACTTTCAACCTCTGGAAAATCCGTTTGGGTTTTGTATTTATATACTGTATGTACCGAAGACAGCACGGTCCCAGTAAAACAGAAACAGGGAATCCACTTCAAAAAAATAAGTTTCCCCTGAAAATCTGGTGCATAAAATTAAGTTAGATTTGCCATCCCTTTTTAGACATTCCTGAATGAAATATTCACAAGTAGTGGCAATTTTTTGAAAAATTTGGGTTTCAACCTGCGTCGGATTTCGGCGCTGAAAACATTTTTTTTTTAAAGTTGACAGGCACAACACGCTACAAAAATCGTATTCCGAAGTCTTATTTTTTAGGAAATAAAAGCTACTATTCTACGGCACTTTCCATGAATTTAAAAAAAAAAGAGGAGAACGACCGGAAGCATCAGATATTTTTAAAATGTCATCGAAAATTTATGGAATCGAGTGCAGCAAGTGTTGAGATGCTACTGCAGGAGAATACAACTTATTTCATGGTTCTAAAAATTGAATTTCGAGTCTTGACTGAGTAAGCAACACTATAAAAAAAAGAGTTATGTAAAGGAAATTTGAAAAAAAAATTCTCATGCAGGCTCTGATTTTCCCAAAGTTTCACTCAAGACACATTTAACACTCCAATCTATTTAAATGTGCACTTGGAACTACTGTATTTTCAAACATATCTTCAAACTACACACACAGAAAAAATACTGTTTTCTGAATGTACATACAGAGAAATCTTTGCTACGTCAAATTTCTCAAGATGCCCTCATGAAATAACCTCTTAGAATTTCCAGCAAATTCATCGAAAATTCTAGATGCAATTTAATTTCAAAAAAAATTTAAGGGCTAAAATATGTCTGCAAACGACGTGTTTTTCTCGTAGAAAACGTCATTCATGAATAACATACACTTTTTCCAGCAAGTGTTGAGTTGTTGGTGCAGAATACACTTATTTCGAGGTTATAAAAATTGACTTTCGAGTCTTGACACGTACTCGCAAAAACAAAGTAAAGCGGATTTGAATTAAAAAAAAATTTCTCATGCAGGCTTCGGTTTTCCCACCACATTTCAACTCACACGACACATTCGACACTCCCAAAATCATTTTTAAAAATGAGAGATCGAAAACATTCTGAAACATAACGAACCACAGAAGAAAAAAAAAGTGCAACTTGCTCTCTGGAGACTTCGCCAGGAACCGATGGCATTCGCTCGGTGCTCGGCGACGAACTGTGGGAAAACTCGGCCGAGCTTCCGATGCTGATTAGTCGCCCATCCGCAGCATCACGGAAATAACACCACCGTCTCCCCCCTCACTGATACCCGTTGGTATGCTTGTCCATGTGGGACAGAGAAAGACAGGCTTTTATATATACATTAGATTATAGCCAAATTGTTTTTTCTTATTGTAATCCAATCAACGCAAACGTCCACAACAAAAGTCGGATTGCATGAATAAGAGTTGTAAAGCATTATAACTTCAAGCCATGTCAGAAATCTTCCCAGTTGTTTTTAAACTGATGTTTCAAATTCGTTCGATTTATGTTGATTATAAATATTAGAATAATGCAGATCCTTCATTATGGATTGCTGACTTTTCACAATGTGAGATCAAAAACATTCTGAATATAATGGGAAAAAAAAATTTTCAACTTGCTCTCTGGAGACTTTTCTTTTTCTTATTGTAATCCAATCAACATGAACGTCCACAACAAAAGTCGGATTGCATGAATAAGAGTTGTAAAGCATTATAACTTCAAGCCATGTCAGAAATATTCCCAGTTGTTTTTAAACTGATGTTTCAAATTTGTTCGATTTATGTTGATTACAAATTTTTGAATAATGCAGATCCTTCATTATGGATTGCTGACTTTTAAAAATGTGAGATCGAAAGCATTCTGAGTATAATGAACAATAAAATTGTCAACTTACTCTCTGGAGACTTTTCTTTTTCTTACTGCAATCCAATCAACGTAAACGTCCACAGGAAAAGTCGGATTGCGTGAATAAGAGTTGAACAACATAACTTCAAGCTATGTCAGAAATATTCCCAGTTGTTTTTAAAACTAATGTTTCAAATTTGTTCGATTTATGTTGATTATACATTTTTGAATAATGCAGATCCTTCATTATGCATGTCTGACACAATCTAACCCTTAAAATTATTGAAAATAAAGTTTCAAATTTTGCCGATTTCTCTGTTTTCTGTGAATTTTTGAATAATGCAGACCCTTCATTGTGGATGTCTGGCTTTCTAAACCTTCAATTTGTTGAAAATCAAGTTTTAAATCTGGTTTATTTCTCTGTTTTCTGAAAATTTTTGTGTGAATAATGCAGAACCTTCTTTATTCGAGTCAGACCTCCTCGACGTGAATTCAAACGGACAAAAACATTTTGTTCCCAGGAGTTGTCAATTTAAAAAATAAATAAATAAAAAGGAAAAGGTTGGTTAATAAATTGGAATGATTCCCAAACCTGATACTGCAAAATTTTTTCGTTAGTTTGCGTCTTATTAATTGTGTCACACGCCATAACTTGCAAAGAAAAGTGTTGCTTCAATTTTACCGCTTTAAAATAAAATAAAAATTTCATTTCCTCGGTTTTGAAGTCGAGTCTCAAAACAAAAGGCTTTGAAAAATTCGATCAATGAATGTTGGAAAGAACAAATGTTCGACTCACGGAGATCTAGAACACATACGTCTAGAGGAAATTTGGAAAGAAATTACCATTAAGTTGACCAAAATTGCCAGTATTGTAGCTGAAAGAGACTATCCTCCAAGCATACACTCATTTCGTGCGATACGTGAATTATTTTGAGCTCCGTTTTTCAGTATGTACTTTAAGCATGTTATACCCTATTTATAAGGCTCACCTCCCGAATTCTACACAGAAAATTGGAAGAAATTCTTATTAAATTACTGTACATTAAAATTTTCAATTCTTGAATGACGCAGCCGGATACATTTGGTTGTGACTTCTTTTTTTCTTTTTCCTCGGGAAAATAATTTTTGCGTGATGAAGTGTGCAAACAGTACAGAGTTTTCCTTCTGGTAAAATGCGGAAGTACCCTACAACGAACTATCCCGTGGTGCCCAACGATCCCCCGGTTCCCTTTCGGGATTCCGGCACAACAGTTCCTCTACTGTTGTGCTATGCGCGCACCTGGCTGCCAAAAAAAAAATAAAAATAAAACTGGCGGAGAAATAGGCCAGGAAAGACAGAAGGAGAGGAAGGAAAGAAACAAGCAACGAATGAAAGGACGAATGGATGAATGAATGAACGAACCGAGAGAGAGAGAGAGGGAGGTGGAGGGGAGGCACAAAGGAGGGAAGCTGCGCGGAAGCAGGAAGGGACCCTGCGCGTGGGAGCAGCACACCCGGGTTTCCCACGCTGGGGTCCCAGGCTCTTAACCCCCCCTTCTCTCCCCCAATACACACACACACACGCACGCACGCACACACACACATACGAACTCAGGGGGCCTTTAAACAAAAAAAAGGGAACGGAACTGTCAAAGGCCGTCTGTGGGGCAGCTTCCTAAAATTCAGATGCTATATTACTGAATTAAAACTTAAAAGGATCAAGATAAACTGTTGGCTTTATATGATTTCTCATCAAAGATTCTCTGTAATTTGTTCATTCAACTAAACCTCATACTGAAACTAGCTGAAGACTTTGTGCTTTAAAGTAATTTTTACATATATTTTGTTACCAATGTCCGGGAATGAATGGGTGTATATGCATACATGTCAGATGTCCAGTTGTATTTCATGTTGTATTGTACTGTATTTTCTTTTATTTTTGTTATAAATTTGTGCTTTCCTGCTATGAAGTGATTAATATGTCATTGAGTGGATTTGGGTTGGGTGGGAAGGGGGTTTGTTTGTGGAAATCTTGATTGAACCGCTTGTGAATGCTGAAAAGCGGCAAATAAAGTGTTCTGTTCATTCATTCATTCAATTTAAACTGGAATCTTTTGGTATTTGGCTTATGATGAAAAAATTTATGGATGATGGAAATTCAGTTATGGAGAAGTCGCTACAATGAATAATTCATTACAACAGTATTTTAAAAGGTACTGTATACCAGCATGTGCAAAATATAAGCATGATACTACTGTGGAGTCTTGGCTAACAAGAATAATGTATTCTAGAAGAATACGTTTGTAACATGGATTAAAACAATTGCAGTCATTTCTTTGGAAAATTTTCGAGTCATTGTGCCCAAAAAAATGTTTGCAAGCTAGATTTGCGTTTGTCAGCTAGTGCAGAAACATCACAAACATCTCCTTTTTATTTTAGCCAGGAAGTATATCAACAAAATCAGTTCAGCATTTGTTAACCAAGAACCACAGTATAATAAATATAATAATGGCACATTTTCAAGGTTCATTACAACACATTGATTTTCTAGCAGATTTTCCATTTTTGTCTCACAAACATCAGAATTTATCAATTTTGCTCATTTGCCTTTGAAGGAAACAATTATAATTCAAAGCGGTTGAAAATAAATAGCTGGAAAGAAATCCGGCATAGATTATTTCAAATGAGAAAACCTGAGGGAGGATACTTTGCTGTTGAAACTTACTTGCTTTTGGCGCTATACAATTCTTGCACATGCTTGGGTATGTTCTGATATGGCCAGAAGGTAGATCCGATTTGAAGGAAATAATATCTGGTTCAAGGAAAAACACTTCAAAACCTAATCCTGCTTTGGAATGTAAGTCATCTCAGGCTCTCGAATTGAAATTGCTCAATTTTGTTTCAATTGATACGTTAAACTTTTCCTAGTCTTTTTGTACAATCTGTAAAATCCCCGTCAGTAAAAATTTGAAAAATCATAAGTAGTGTATATAACTTGAAATAAATGGATTCGGACGCTTCATAAGTACGTATAGATGAGTTTTGTAGGACACACCGTGCGAGTACTATACACAGTGCATCGTGCGAAAGGTCTGAAAATGTCACAGAACTTTCCCTGTCCCCCTCGCTTCCCCCAAAACACAGCACCCCTCAAAGGTTACGCCACACGAAAGGTTAATGACGGGGCGGGGAACCCGTGCGAGGCGTGTGAACAGCCCGGCGCATGGGAATGCGACCCGTGTGCATCGCGATGGAGCGTGTGAAGCAACCCGGGACCACACTCGCCTGTCTTTATATTATTGGGTATCAATTGAAAAGCATGCCGAGTCTTGATCATCCCCGCGCTTCTACACGTGTCCCTGGCAGTGGTTTAAAAAATTAGAGGGAAATCTTTCTCGTCACTTGCGCTTGAGAAACGATTGATCGCAGCACTTTCTCCACCTTGAAAAAAAATTTGTGAAGAGGAAGACTCCAGATGCTAAATCATAATTTATAATTATCATGTACAGTAATTTTTTTTGTCTAAATTTATGCAAGCAGCCTTTTACCCCGTACAATATCATAATGTAAATTATATGAACTCAATGACAGTACATGCACTGTAAAACGTATTTTTACGCATCTTTAGGCCGCACTGTTTCTCCACAGAAGAAAAAAAAAACAGGGAAAAGCTAGAGTTTTTGCAGATCATGTTTTGAAAATATAAAAAGCTTCCGAAAAGAACATACATGCGTGAATATGTAGTTTCATTATCCGGGCTCCCGAATTTGAGATTCGCGAGGAATTCAGTTATATTTTTCAGGTTATTCTTTTAAAAATGTTTTTTTCGTTGTTAAAAATATTTTTTTCGAATATCCATTACATTAAATATGATATAGTATTTACAGAAAATATGACCGGACATTAACTTGGAACAGAGTGTTTTTAATCTCTGCTCCGGAGAGCCTCGAAAGCATTTCATAAACTTCACAAGATCTTTGCGGATTCTTAAGAAAACCAAACAATTTTATTGGTCTAAATCCTACAAGATAGGATTGTCCAGAAAAATAAACAAGAGCTCGTTTTTTCGTATCTCGAAGTGTGAATGATATTTAGGGAATTTTGGTGATGCGCAAAGCTTTCATGTTGGGTCAACAGGGCTCCGCCACACAATTATGTTAAAACAATAAATGTATCGTAAAAGACGCATCCGAAAAATCCCTCACATGCGAAAAGATCGACTAACTATCCCTTGGATCATTGGAATATCCTTCCTTTTACAAAAACCTGACAATCTATGGATCTGAAGAGGATAATACTTGTGATGCATACATCGTTCGTTAGGTTCTCCACTTTTTCTCGCCAATTCTGAGCGCGGTTGAAAGAAAAACACGATGAAAGCTGCAGAATCTGGTGAAAATCTAAAAAAAAAAAGCGTCTCGGTCGAAGAGCTCCAAGATAGTCATAATTAACTCTTAATCTTAACGCCGAACTTTTATCAACACTACTTTTTCTTACTCAATCCCCTGTTAACACTTTTTCTCAGTGTGTCGCGCGTATCGGCAACTGACTCAACGATTCGATCGGTTCCCTAAACCACGGATCACTTTCTCGACGACTCGACTTCGTTCGACTTAACTATATACTGTAAACACAGCATTGAGAAATAAGCCCGCTTATTTTGGTTTGTTTCGGGTGATGTTGCCGACTTTCGACAAGTCGCCGCTGGTCAAGTCAGGGCGTGAGCCTGCCGTTGTATCGCTGAATGATCTCGTCACTCCGGCGACTTCCAAGGAATTCGACGGCGCGGAAGGCGGTACAAATATTAGGCAAATTACTGATGGCTGGAATGCATGTCGGAATTTCATCTACAATGCCGCATTCGAAGGTTTGTTGTGAGCCCATTATACTTGCTCATGCAGGTGTTTCCTTTGAATTCCCCTGAATTATCCTTATACAGTATAATACCAGTCGATGAAAATAGCGCTGTCTGCGTTGAATGACTTAACGGTCAGAAAATAAAAAGCTTCTATTTTTTGTATCCCTAAGAAATTAGAAGAAAAGACTCTGAAATTTCCGAACGATTATTATTAGTTAAACTTTAAGCCTAGAAACGGATCTTGAATTTACTGAATGAATGATGAATGAACAGAAAAAATTATTTGCCGCTTTTCAGCGTTCACAAGGGAATTTACTGTAAAAAGTATTTTTAGACCATACCTTTAAGATTCCAGAAGATTGAGATTTATTTTATTCATCCAAGGTAAAAAGCAGATATGATGCATAAAACATAGATTAATTAATTGTCTCCTCACTGTTCCAAATTTTTATGGTAGGCTTTTTGAAGGAACTTAGCTTTCAAAGTAAAATTGAGTTAACAAATTTTTTAGGAATTACCTGAACCACAGTGAATGTCGCATCAATTTTTGCCTTGATAGAAAATGAAGAACAGGTTATGTTTTAATAGGTTGCCTGGAGTCTTAAGGACATAGAAACTGTACAAAAAACCGTATTGGTTGCAATACTTTTTTGGTCACAATTTCTCAAGTATTATATTCTTTTCTGCCCATTGTGTGAGACATGCACCACAATGCGGTCATAAAATCAAATTCAATCCATCACGACGTGCAAATGATGTGTAAGTCAGCCCCTCTAACATGGTAAGCTTTTGATACGGAGTATCATCTGAATTACTTTTTTAGAAGTTGGAAGAAATTTTTTTATTGAAGCGCGATCGCTCACGATATGAATTGCATACATGCCCAGGAGATAATGAATCAAAGCAGTATACTGTACATTTCAAGTTGTGTCTCTCAGAGCTTTTCTATTTATTTATTTTAACTAATAAAATAGCATTAAGCATCAAATTTGGTCTTGAATAAATTGAAGCCTCATGAGAGACTTGGTTCGATTCGTTATGAGGTACTGTACTCCAAAATCGTGGGGTGAAAAGAAGCACTTTGGAAATACTAAATTAGAAAGCTGCGCATAGCATTCCCCGGTTAGACCTAGTCGAAAATGTGTAACCACGTTTGACGGCTGATCAGGTTCTGATGACCAACACGCGATTTTGATAAAGGCGCTAAAATGCCGTCATAGATACCTTCACGACTATGAAAATGCTTGTACTCGTTCAATACTCTCAGGAGATGTCGTCGGCAAGCCGGATTTCATTTCACCGGACGACTCGAGGAACCCCAGGACACCGTACCTGGCTTTGCGACAGGAATTGGCTCACCTCGACCTGGAAATCGCTTCTTTGCACACGAGACTGAAACACTGCTCACGTGAAGCTTCGATACTACGCCGGCAAGTCGGAACCACACTTAAATCTCCGATCATTCGTCTGGAAAACCTCGGTTTGCAATTATCGGCCATCACCCACAACCTCAAGCGAAGCATCGTCGACTTAACAGCCCGTCTGAGTGAACGCATTCGGCGCAAGATGTCGCCGCAACTTTGGATGTACTCCTCACATGTGGACGATGAGTTCGCATCGCGAGTGGACATCGTCGCACCGAAATGCGTCACTCCTGGGCCTCGGACCTGCGTCCGACTCAACACTGATTCAAATTGAACATTCATCGGATTATGGAACTCTTAAAAAAAACCCTCAAGTAGAGATATTTAGGAATGTGGAATACTGCATCATGGAGGATGATTAACAGAGCGTTAACGGGATATTTCAAGAGCTGACATAGCGGAACAGCAGCCGAGTTTTCAGCCCACAGGAATTGCTTGGTGTTCTGCCATTCATAGGGTGGATACTTCCGAGCAATTCCTGTAAAACTCGGTTGCGATCCGAATGAACCGTCGATGTTATCAACAGTATGGAGGCCAAATGAGCGGACGCACTCTGATTGCCAACAATCTTTACTCTTTTATCCGCTAGCATACTCTAAGTAAAGGCAAAAATTTTCCTCGTCTTTTGCATATCTGTCTGATCTGAATAAAACGAAAACTGCCCTGAATTATTTCAATCTATACTGTACAGTACAGTATATACATCGGAATGTTTTTTCTTCAACTGTGCCCAATATATACTGTGTACGTGATTACCTAGCCCTAGAGCACTGCTGCCTAAAATATAGCTGTGGGCCAGATCCGGCCCAAAGAAACACCCGCGGTCCTTAACAAATTTTCCTAGCAGCAGCAGCATTTAGATAAGATCAAAATTGGAATCGTAAAATTTTAAAATTCTGCTGATTTCAAGGTTCACAATAATGAGTTCATGCGTTTCAAGGGAATCAGAAAAACCAGGTTCGTCATCAACCAACGGTCCCCAGATTTCAACGTGGAAAGAAAATCGAGAATATTCAATAATAAAGCTGCGTTTCATTCCCATTTTTCATGCAGTCGTCAAGCAATTGTAAATGCTCCAGGTGACAAAATAAAATGTTTGAAAAAATATTCGCGTCAAATTAAATCAAAAAGCGAGCGAAAGTGGAGCACACACGCTCAATGATGAAAGGAAGCAACTTGAATATTGAGACTTTTGGCAAGCAGGTACAAGATGGCATAAACTGGTAAATTTATCTTGCTGTTTATACCCGTATTTAAAGGAAACCAAGCATTGAATAACCCTGGACCAGATGAATTGAATAAACGCTCAATGCAAAGCAATCTCCAAATCTTCGGAGAATGCATTCATCACATACTAGCTGTCGGCCGCTTGACGGTCCTGCTCGTAGGACTTTTCGTTATATCGCGACTACCTATTCGACGGTGGGTTCCTCGAGAACCGTTCCCTTTCGGTTCCGACTTCTTGTGCATCTGGCCGAAAAAGTGTCCCAAATTGTTAGCTGGCAACGCCACTTCTAGGATGCCTTCGATCAACACGTAGACAAGCCGCCGGTTCAACGTTGGATACTGGAAGAGATCGTACACCCGAAGTATGCCTTTACGCGTTGTTTCCGTGCCAAGTAAGCTCTTGAGATCATCTGAAAATAAAATCAAATTTATGAATCCGACGAGCGATCAAAACTGCTGTTCCGTAATGCCAAATACTACATTGTTTAGTATTTATCGCATGGTCATCAGTGATAAGACGGATTTGTTACAAGGATCTTGACGAAGTCAGCAAAATATTGTTATTGATGGCGTATAAATTCTCACGGTCCGTTTTTGCCACTTTTTTGATCACTAACACGCATTTCGTCCTATTCGAAGCTGAGTAATCAGAAATGACTTGAAGGACTTGCAATGCTAACCTATCCAGAGCATGTGGAATAATACTGTAACCACAAAAATCGCACGCTCACGTTTCTTCATGTTGATTAAGTCAAAACTTGTCAAGTCATTGTCAGGGACCAGCATTAATTCGAATTTGCGAAACAAGCAAATTTGTTGGGCGAAAAGAAAAAATGATTACAGGAATCTGTGAATCGGTGTTATTATGCACCTTAAATTGCTTAATGAATGAGTTGACAGGATCATGAAGTTGGGGACAAGGGTTCATTTTCTAAATTTGTCTTTCAAAACACAACAAGGTACATTTTCATTGGTTTTGTCTTTCCTGTGTCAATAAAATATTCTAATAGCCAGAAGACCTCCAGAAAATTTGGCTTCTGAAGGTTTGAAGGGGATCAAGGACTTGAAAAAATTGACACAGTCGTAGACTTCGGGAGATTCGATTCATTGAGGCTCAACTGTACTTGAATTTTCGTAGTTATTGTACTTCTACTATATTTTCCTCCCGGACTTCACTCAGGTCGCTCTGCTACAACGCATGCACGAATTCTGCGCGGGTCCCTTAAATTAGATTAGACCAAACCCCTACCACGACGATTAATTCAGATAGAAATCCAGTCACATTTTAAAATGCTTGCCACAAGGAAAAACCTGAAGTATAAATCAGAGATCAGCTTTCATTCTAAGCAGCGAGAAAACAAAATCTCTCACCAGAGATGAAAGAAAGTAACGAAGCTTTTGCGGCCACTTCCGTCCGTTTCTTCGTCGTTTTCTCCCTCTGCGGATTCGGTAACGCCAATGACCCGCTCGGCCAGAAGTTATTCCTAAGAGCGCGCAAATACAGCGCGACTTGCTCATACGACGTAGCGTGGTGAAGAAATTGCCGGAGACGACGATTGTACATGTTTCCGAACATGGCTTGTATCACATGACGCAGGGCAGAAACCAGCCGCGGTCTCAATCGCCAGGACGCAGTATCACGCACACTGAAGATTTCTTCCAGGACCACCAGTAAGATCCGCATGTGAACCGGATCTTCTCCCTTCATGAGAAATATTCATTGATCCTTCAGTTGAATTCTCCAGAATGTGACGATCACTATATATATATATATATATATATATACATATAAATATACTCACATCCCATGGATCCGCCAATACGAATTTCTCGTAGTCGGAAACCGGATCTAGATTCCAGCGAATCCTTTCGCCCGTTGAGGTCGAAGTACCGAAAGATGATGACTCCATAGTAGATGTACGACCCAACTTGACCCCTGACTGCGTCATTTCGTCCAACTTCGCTTTCAACGTCTCTGGTGCAGTCAACAGGACGTTCTTCATCGATTTCAAGGGATCCATGACTCGTCTTTCAACCTTCAAGAAAAGGCTTTGCAAATTTGCAACAACGCCAAACAATATTGTTCCTTTTTTACGCAGGCTCACCATCGTCCGCTGCACGTAATTTCCTTTCCCCAGGAACTGGTACAGCCGTTCCCGCAGTCCAGCGTGCTTCTTCAACATCTCCACGGAAGACAATGTTTTCAAGTACAAGTTCAATTGTATTCTTCTCTCCTCCAAAAAATTGCTCTGCAGGTTATTGAATGTTCTTTTTCCGGGGAAGTGAAGTTCTCCCAAATCCTCGAACTGCTTCAAGAAGGAAAAATTGAGGTTCTCGTAAATTTTAGAGCTAAATTCATAAGTGGTCTCACAGCGTATCGAATACTATTGTGGAAATCGTCGAAATCGGAATAACGGCGCTCAACGGTCCATTCTACAGTTCCAACGGGTTTCCGCCCAGAGGAAGGAGATGATTCCGGTTTACCACTGCTCTCAGTGATGATCTTTGCGTATACAGTATACACGGCGAATGACTTCGGCATCTCCTTCACGATTTCTAAAAAACAAAGGTTCTTTATTCAGCACTTTATAACGTGAGGGAAAATGCTACGAGAACTCGGAAAGTCCTCGAGACGAGAAAAATGTCGTCACCGAATATTCCCGACAGGTATCAGTAACTCGGAAACGCATCAAATCAACAGAAGATTAAAAAAAATACAGTAAACGTTCGCGGAATCGGAAGGCCTTACTTGTTTCCTTTATCTCAATGAACAATTTGCTGTTGTCATCAGCAAAACGATTATTCTTTGCGAATGTTGACGCGGCTTCGAATGATCTGGTGTCGTTGCTTCCTTGACTAGAAGTGCTTTCATGGAAGTCTCGGGAACCCGTAACCTCACAAGCATCATATGCGACTGAAATCATGTCCAATTCGGAGCTTGAAGCGTCACTCATCCTGGGGTTCAATTCGAAAGGTAGAACATCGTCGTCATCACTTTTCCCCACGCTTTCTGGAATCCAGTCCATTTCGAGAAGAAGCTTCATATAGAACGCACTTCTCTTGAAACTTGGAAGAAAAGAATCTTCCTGCGAATAAAGATAAAATTACAAGGAGCTAACGCAAAAATTGATCGCATTTTTTATTCCTAAAATTACGGTGTTTCAAAATGCACGGACATTTTCAAGGCAAAATCAAGCTCAATTTACCAGAAATTTCTCACGGAGTGCTTCTTGAACCCCATCAAACCAGGTTTCGTTCGGTTCTTCGTCATACTGGACTTTTTGATACAATGCGTGGATGAGCTTTTCGTCGAGTTTGACTCGCTGGACAGCTCGTTCTGATAAATACTGATGAAATATCTGTAATGCAGGTCCTCTCAAATTCTCCAAGCGAATTTTCTTCAGATCTTTCGGACTCGCTACTTCACTCGGTGCTCGAAGAAGTTCGGAAACAGCTTCCTCCGCAGATAATCTCCAACCTGGAAATGCAAGCTTTGCAATCAAGTGGTCGATAAATTCAGAATCTGACGTGGCCGAAAAATACTCACGATCAGTGCTCAGATAAAGGTACATATAATGCTGGGCTTCGTTCGCGTGAAGGAATTCCAGGAAGCAGTTAATAGCCACGTTATTGTTTAAAATATCGTCCAGGGGAAGGTTCATGTATCTCACGCATTCAGGCAAACGCGTCCAATCTATTCCTACATGTTAAAAAATAGAAGAAAATGAATAAATGCATGCAGCTACTTCAACGACAGGATACCATGAATTTGAATTACCCAAGGAATCGTTAGTTTTCTTCCCATCTTTTATCCATGCCATTCGTTCATCAAGGACCTTTTGCACGTACAGAAGGCTGCTCAGCATACATTTAATTTCCTCGTCCATTTCTCCGCCCGAATCTTTGGACCTCTGAAAAATTAGATGGAAATGTTCAACAGTTCTTTTCTCTCACAAATCCGCAACAATTATAGCTCAAAAATAACTTACCAGAGCGCTTATTTCAGCCTTCACCTTTTCCTGCACTGCTTCCAATTCGTCCCAATCATCACATCCACGAATGACCGTGAGAAACGCATCACTGTCGATCGGCACCGACTTACACTACTCAAAGAGCCAAAAAATAGATCAGTAACAAAGAAAGTTCGGCGCGAAATCAGTCATTCGTACCATCCACACAATCGTTTGATTAATGTAATCTGGATCACTCAGAAGATTGATGATCGGAAGCATCACAGCAGAGATCATCAATTCTCGGAAAACGTACCGAAGGGATTTCACCTTGAAGTCCTCTTCGGGCAGCAGCAGATACAGAAGAATATCACTCAGCTCTCGCAGGTATTCTAAAAACATATAAGTATAGCCTTGACTGATGAACGACTCGGCTTCAAACCACTGGTAAAAAGAATCCCATCTTATCAAGGAATTGACATTATTCATGATCGAACTGCCACGCGAAGACAGATGCGAATAAAATATGGATTCAACATTTGCACGCGCACGGAATCACGAAGAAAGATTTATTTTATTGTTTGAATGAAACGAAGATTATCGCGGGGACAAACAACGGTCAGTCATAGATTGATAAAACTTGATAACTTGGCTGATCACTAACTTTTCTCGTAAGATGGATCAGTGCACACTTTGTCCCGGCAAAGCAACCGCTTTTCGGATGCGAACTCTTTTTCGAAAAAGCAATCAACCAGCGACGGTACTTCTTCATGAGCAGTTTGAATCGTCAGAAACAGTTCTTCTTGTCGCGCCTGAGCTGCCTTAAATAACCGTAGATGGTTGATGATGTCTTCGACGAATTTCGTGGTCATGTGCGACACCCAATCGACTTCCTTCGCTCTTCAATAAGAAAAAGCACAAGATTATCCTCGGACTGAAAAAGTTAATGGCAATTGATGCCTGAACACAATTCAGGTTTATTTGAGAAAAGGATCTCACCGACTCGCGACAGAAACCGCAACTTTACGAGCCAAGGAATGCAGACAATTCAGGAATTCGTCATCCGCAGATATGGGACTGTACCAAATTTGTACATAATCACGAATAATGTACTGAATGAGGTCATGCAATGGCTCATCCACCACAGCGGAGCCAGTCATCCTGATGTCCGTTTTTCCAGCACAAGATGAACTCAGGGCATTTTTCTGAATCTAAAAAATAACATGCCGCTCCTGAGATCGGAAAGCATTATTTGATGATTCGAGTACACACCGATCCAAGCCCTGAATCAGGCAACGGCAGCCTGGTATGCGACAATTCATTTTGATATTTCTCACAGGCCTGCGAGGCAATCCGCCGAAATGCTAGATAGAACCTGAAATATATCACAAATTGAAGAAACCTTCTTCAATGAGAAAAAAAAGTACGATTGCTGATTTACCCAGTAGATGCTCCTAGGAGGATTAGAAGGATTGTAAGTGTTCCACGTAGACCGAAAACGCTGAAAACTACGATCACAGCAGACATGCCCCAAAGGCGAAGCGGTTTTAAATACGATGACAGAATTCCGCATATTCGGTCATTCATCCTCGCGAAAGGACTCACGCGATCTCAACTTAATCCATTTGTCATGTTGAGAACGTAGGAACTGCGAACGGCTACACTATCACTCAGACATTCTTACACTAGCAAGACAAATTTAAACGCCGATAGAACGTCAAAAATTTACAGAGAATATTCGAGAGGGAGTTCAAAACCGGACTCATTCATTATTTCTTTTGACCGTAAACCACACGGGAAGAAAATGAGGCACACAAACGCGACAAAATTCACGCATGCGTCAGAAGCTCAAAGATCATTAAGATCCACATCCGGGATATCTTCCACAGTATTTGAACTTTCTTCTGCTTTGTGCTCGGGTTCTTCATTGTCGACCACGAATTCTCCCAAATCTTTCCAAGACATGGCATTAGCTTTCTTCAATTTGATCTCTACTTTGCTTCCACCCAATGTCACCGTACTCTCCTCAGGACTAATGGGCTAAATAAATGGATGAGAATAATACAATTACTGTATATCAAACTGAAACTCCCACGTAAATATCTCACCCCTCGTAAAAGAATTGTATGCGCGAAGAGTTTCCCTTCAAATGTGAGCTGCAGTTCTAACTTCGCTGAGTTCGCGTTGAACACACACTGCTTCGGATCGACTTTTTTGGCATAATACGTTATGAAAACATAAGGCCCCGTCTGATGCCAGTCATGCCGACAATTCACTTTCTCACCCCGTTTCTAAGGAAAAAGTCGATGAGCAGGATGAGGGGGGGGGGGGAACTATTATTTTACGGACAATAGGTGAACAATCTTACCGACGGTGCAGACCAGGCATGTTCACCTGAAACACATCCCTTCTGATTCAGGAAGACAGTGAAATCGGTCGTTTTTCGCTTGCAGCATGACCAGTATTTCATTCCTTCATGAAAAATGGCCGTCCCGGGATGATGTACGCACGATCCTAGATCCGCGGGCGGTTCACGATAGGTCTTGGCGCAATGAAAAATTCGATTAATTAGGCAACACCTAACGTTTCGGCGGCGATTATCTGTCGCCATACCACTAAACATCCTGCGTTTTTGCAAGCAGTGCCCTCGACGACCTCGCCACCACCAACACTGACATCGTTTTGCGTCGGCTTCGTACTTGCTTCATCATCCAGTAGTTTTCTCAGCGCGGGAGACACAGTAACGATAAGAGCTGTTGTAGAGTCATTCGCATCGCCGTACTCGGTGTCGTCCTTTTGGAGGGGTTTTCTCTCATGAATCACTACATCTTGACTTCCGCGTTCCCGCTTCTCTGGTTCCGGAGGTTTAACGGGATTGTGGGGGCCTTTCGCGCATCCCTATCAACAAAAACAAAATTTAACGCGTCCATAAGGGAACGATTACTCAGTAACTGGGAACACACCTTCGTGTTGAGGAATTCCGTAAAATCAACGCTACGCTTTTTGCAACATGACCAACCCTTATACGCATCGTGGAAAAACGGAGCTCCAGGATGGAACAGGCACGAATCTAGAAAGAGAAAAGGACACATGCATCAGAAGTTATATATGACTAATGAATTCAAACTCACCTTCAGTATTTTCGAGGGGATCGAATTGTTTACCACATCCCTGATTGTAACAGAACAATAAATCTTTCTCAGACATTTTCATCGACTGCAAGCGCAATATGGCAGTCGGCACTCGACTCAAAGCCTATATCACTGCAGGGCGATAATCAAGTCCGTACTCTCAACAGTAAAACAACTCAAGATGCAAGACATTGGCGCACTCCGTTTTTGAATACTGTACAAGAAATGCGCAAATGAATGCTGGACGCCTGCACCAAGTTCCCGCGTCGCGCAACTTCATGCCGAGCAAAAATCCTAGCTTCTAATCTTAATGTTTGATGATAGCGTTTTCACCCACAGCACAGGGAGTTCGGCCAATCTCCTACACTCCACATGAGAATTCAAGACCGAACAGTTATACCACATAATCAACATTTGATTAATGCGCGAGTTGAGTACATGATGAACCTCATTACCGACTTCGTACAGCTGCATTTAGCGCGGTAGTGAGGACATTTCTCCATGAGCTACTGCAGAAGAGTTCATCCAAGTAAGATAGATGTCACTAATATAAATTCAGCTGAGTGAAGAACAGTCGTCACACCAGCCGTCCACCTGAGCAGACACTGTACATGCAAGGTTGCTAGCATGTGACCCTGTTCTGGGAGAGGGAAAAATTAGGCTAAGCTGATTGATCGACATACACTATACAGGTTTGTTTTCGAAAATGATGGCATTCAAAAAAAATAAATCGAAGCATTGACGCGAATCAATTTTCAATGTATTCGTGATTGAAGGCAACATGTACATGGCCATGCAGGAAATCCAACAGATTCGACAGAATTTATTGGAATCTATCGATCACAAATTTCAAACAATCTCTCGCACGATAAGGAATGGACGCGAAGTCAACAGTCTTTCAGCATATATTCTCAAAAATAAAACCAGATCTTTCCCATTATCCTGAAATTCAAATCATGTAACACGTGCTGATCCTCATTACGTAACTAGATTGAACGCGAAACCTATCCCATCCAAGCAAGGTTCACAAATCAGCAAAAATTAAGACTATTTAGCGAGCTCGTGCAGAATTTAAGCGAATCCTCGATGACGTATTCCAGGTTCTACGACATATCACACATGCTTTCCGTTTCACATCAGAAGTGCGCACTTCCATCAAAAATAAAAAGGAAACGAAGGTTTTTATTTTCAATTGCTCCAAAAGGAAGAAATATATGTCCCTGTAGAGCTTGATGTAACAGTCGAGAAAAATGCCCTTCTGCTTTCCTCAACTCATTCACGGCGATTGTCCAGTCCTAACAGCTACAGGCGAAATCATGATGCTCGCGGCACACACTCACCAGAGTAAACGTTTCTCTAGCACTTTAAATCAAAATAAATCTTCGCAGACTTCAGGATAGGATACACGTAAACCAAACCATTCTCGATTCAGTCAACCCCTCCGAATCCCTCTGAGCCTTCTATGGCTTTGATCAGCATGTCCTTCAATTGCTGGTAGCTTTCGTAGGGCGGCAAATCCAATCGATTGAAACTGTAAAAAGAAAATGCTGTCTACAGGAAATCGATTCATGACAATTATGGAGCAAGAGAGGTATTCCCAGAAGTCATTGCACCGTACTTGTCATTTAAATCGTGAGCTACTTTTCAAGGAGATTTGAACATTTTTACCCAATTCATTTAGCTCTTGAGGCCTCATCCAATTTTTTCACAACTCCAGGATCAATTCCATTGGAGAAATGCAAGTGGTTATATTTCCTCATCAGGAAAATTTACTGTCACAGCCTATCTGTGAGGAAATAAATTTGCTTCACAAAAGGCAGATAAATTTGCTTTGAATTGGTCAGAAAAGGAACAGTTCAAATTTTGCTAAAGGTTAAGAATATTAGTCAATGAATTCTCAGATCCGAGTTAGCTAGAAAGTTTGGGTGAATTTCACAATTGAAGTGAGAAATAAAACCAGATCAAGCAGCTGGGCTGCGGCCAGGACGTTACGTCCTGGTATAAATTGATACATTGCTCAAGAATTTGAAATGCAAGCAATAGCTTTTGAATCTCAACACTTTTTGCAAGAAGTCAGAAAAATGACAGCGATTTTGGAATTGCTAAACATTGTGCACGAGGTGGTTCTCCTGGAGATCCATTCAATTCAATAGCAGACTGTAGATTGAGTTTTTAAAGGGTTTCAATTAACGAAAACAACTCTCTGGATTGGGCTGGAGGTCAGGATTGACCACGTTCATAGGAAGTGAAATTCTTATCCTTCAGGGAACCAAACCTGGGTTTGGTTCTCGGGCTTCCAAGGAATGTGTTTCAGAAGATTATTGCTAATTCAGACTGACGCCTTCTAAACAGGCAACTTCTTCTTCAGAGCTTCAAATTTTTCCTGACACTATCCTTGCGTGACTTTTTCCTGCCTCTTGAAAATGAGCTTGCATACACTATGGAAAAGATCTTATTCAACTTCAATGCAGTCAGCGATTTTTCAAATCCCTTCTAAATTACTCTACCTAGGATAATCTGCGTGAATTCCGTTGGAAGATTATAAAATTGCGCAGATCTTGCTCTACGTGAGCCCAAGTATAAAAAAGGCCGTAATTTGATTTTGAGGTCATTTATTTTTAAATGTATACTGTACTAAAAACGTGAAGCAGAACATTTAGTTCCAGCGTTGTGGTGGAAAATCTTGTTGAGAATAAAAGAAATGTAATAGATATTTCGTTAGCAAGTGCGGAAACATGAAAATACCATCTCGTCTGTTCTTACCAAGTATGGGCCCGAGGAAAATTGGACGGCGCGCCCCATTTTTCGATCGTGAACAGCTGAGGTCCATTAGAGCCGTAAAGTTCCTTGAATCCATTCATGGGAACGTGCGAAGTTCCCGTCACAAATTGCAACAGCCTCGCTCTCATTTCGTTATCGAAGGAAAGAACCACCTTAAAAAGGAAATTTAGAATGCTTCCGTAAAAATTAAAAAATCGTGTAATGAATCAATTACTCAACGCAATCGACACTCGCACTCGAAAATATTTTTACGTTGAAGATTTGCACTCACTCTCCAAAACCATTGAATCACCGGGTGATTTGGATAGTAAGAACCTTTGTAGGCGGTGTTAAGCTTCCAGTCACGAACATCAATTTCTTGCAGTCCACTAAGAAGTAGCTCCAGTTCGTGCTCATCGAATATTTTAATAAGAGGCAAGGGAACTACGTCATTGAATCCTTCTTTGAAAGCTTTCATCTGCTGCTCTACTCGACTGACAAAGCGGAACTGTATCACCATCCTGGAAAAGAACGAACAAGTTACTGTAAATGGGACCTCAGTAGTGACTTTACATCAGCTGGTACCTGATGTACTCCATTTTGTTTTCATCCGTTACAGGTATTTGTGATCCGTTAGGCTTCAGTTCACGCTCAGCGGTTTCGCCAAAGCAAGTTTCTTCGTCAACCGAAAAGGTCAAAGTTAAAAGCGAAGGGTCGTTATTCTTGATCCATGTCAAAGAATTAAAATACTCCGGATCCACTGATTCCATGTCGCTGAGATCAATGGTTTTCTCCAGCAACATTTTATAGAAAGGCCGGATAAAAAAGGCTGTCGAAGGATAGGAATAAATCTCAAATCAATGGGTACAACTGAGTCACTAAAAGTCACTCAGGAAATCCATGGACAAAATACTAACCATCCAAGAGTTTTCCGTGATACACAGCCATTCCAGCGACTCGTCCAATAAACTTGATGTAGGACAAATGATCTTCATTGCACATACCGGAATACGGATTAATTTGCAAAGTGTAGTTGTCACTGCATTTAAGAAGTCCTCAAGTAATGAGAATTCAAACACCCAAAAAAATACAGAAGCGTTATTGCTTACATAGCAGAGTATTCGAAGAGTCCGTAATATGGATTGAACATTTCCCTCGAAAGAAGAAAGAACCACTCCCTAGTGGCTCCACCATAGTCAAGCACATTTTCACCGTCAAACTCAATCCAAAGTTTTGCTTTCAGCAAGCTCGGTTTGGTAACTCCACCGATGAGACGATAAGAATCTTCCATCATATATTTCCGCCGAACTTTCATCTCGAATTTACTTGGAACGTCAGTCTGCAGTAACATCAAACAATGGGGACTTCTAGATTGTGTGAAACGTAGACAATCAATGTCACTCACTGGTTTCTTCAATTGGGATCGGAAGTACTCATATTTTCTTTTATAGTCACGAGAGTAAGGCACAGCTGAACCTGCAATTGACGGATTGGAGAGCCGTGGATCCTCCCACTGCGTGGTCCGCGTGTCTGGGAAGAGAGGAAATAGAGCACTGAAGAAAAGCCCTGGACTTCAAACGTTTGAGGCAAATAATTTCACAATAAAATGAAATCCAAAACCTCTATTGGCTGGATGCAAAAAAATTGGTTTCATTTTGCTCATTTAGTGTCTTTCTAATGTACTTATGCGGCAATTCAACTTTTTCACTTCAATTTCAATCGCCGGAAGACTGATTTTTCTTTACTATGCGGATACTGTTCGTCGTCTTTCGGCACTGTGGACGTCGAAGAAGTTCAAACGTGTTGGTAATGGTTCAAGTATCAATGTCGATTAATTTTCACAGCGACCAACTTGCTAATGATCCAGCACAAGTTTGGAAACAAGCCAATCATTTTCGTACCATAAATAACTCTGACTTTGATTAAGAAGGGCACTTACTATGATCAATGAAAAAGATTCGTCCATCCGAATGAACGCGTTCTTCCCATCCCTCAGGCAATGGGCCTAAATCATCCGCGCCTCTGCTGAAATTTTCATGGAAATCAACACCACACGATATAAGTACATGGCAGAAATGTCCACGAAACACTCAACGTTACTCACGCTTTCGGAGGTCCGTTTCGACTAGGCATTGTCGAAGGTTTGTTGGTCCTTGGGTCAACCCATGTCGTTGTCTTCGTATTATGGTCAATGAAAAACACCCGACCATTGGCAGCTACCTGAACACTCCAACCTTCGGGAAGTCCTTCAGAAAACGTGGTATCCAATTGAGCCAGCTGAGTGGAAATACACTGTACGCCGTCAGTAGAATTTGATCGAGGACGTGGACGGGGCGCACTCGCACTGCTAGAAGACCTTCCACCCTAAAATAGTAACATGAAAATAAAATTCTACGCTAATATCAAATAAGATCACTGACCGAGTCGGTTTCAAACCGCGGACGTCGTTCGGCGCTACTAACTGAGTTCTGTGAAAGCAGACGCAAATTTTCAGCAAAAGTGAAGTTTTAAAAATGCATTCAACGTCTTCACCTGACGGATTGTCGCTCTTTGATCTGGTTCGTCGACACTGAATTGATAACGCCGAAGCATATCCTCCCTTGCAGATTCCAAGCTTCTCTCCCGGTTTTCGACTACATGACTCACCGTATCTTCTCTGCAATGTAAAAGGCAACAGAGATTTCGTCAATGAAATAACCCATAACTTCAACCAATTAGCATTCCATGAGGTTCAAAACTACGTCCGAGAACTACGCGAAGCTCAGATCACAAGAAAAGAACGTCCCAAGACCTGTTTTTCTACTCTATTTTGGAATTGAATCAAAAAGGCTATTTGACCCAGAAGAGAGAACGTAACTTCGGTGGGGTGCAAAATTCTCATCATAAATTCTGGAATGATGCCGATTGGAAATATTGGGACATATTTCAATCTTCCGTCATGCAATTCACACCCCACTAGAATACTTCCTTACATGGTTGGACGCTCCCATTGCGTTGTTCTGGCAAGATGATTAACGTAGTACGTGCGACCGCTGGCATCTTGACGCTCCTCCCATCCAGCGGGCAAGATGGACTGAGACGGAACTGTTTCTTCACCCGCGGTCGGTTGTTGAACGTAGGTAGGCTGAACCGGTTGCTCAACAACTCCAGGCTGGTCGCCAGCATTCGTGAATCCGTGATCACCGCTCACGATCTCCCAACCGGATTCAGGGACTTCGGGATTGGTATTGTTCCCCTCAGTCATCGCAGAATTTTCTGGCGGAACTTCGTTGGCAGAATCGGGCGATTCCAAAAAAGCATGGTAAAGAAGTAAATGTCCTCGCACTTTTGATCGCGTGCTGGAAGATAAAATATAAAACCGTACTTGAATCATGCACCTCCGCTTCGATCCAAACTTGACGTTACCTGCGAGGCCTCAGAATGTAATATTTGTTGCAAGAAGGAGCACCCATACTTGTTTCGGTCGGCAAGTTATACAATGGTAATTCCACCATACCAAGGAAATCATCTCTTGTCAATCGATTCTCGTCGAAGACTTGGAAAACCAATCTATGAGCGTCTGGCTTCACGCGGAAAATGAATTCTTGCTTCCATAAGGGGTTTAGCGTCTGAATATAAAACAAAGATCAAACTGAGACTATCGAGCGGTAATCTTATTTACTGACCCTCTTCCGAGTTTTTGTGAAAACCGAGTCGATAACATCATCGTCCGTACATCGAGAATCAGCAGGATATAAGTCGATTCGCACGTAAGGGTCACTGAAGAAGCCAAACACTGACATACAAATCCTCTATTTCAGATAAAATCTCTTACCTGGCACCAAAGATGTCTTTCTTGGCTAAATTGTGGCCTGAAATCACCTTTATCCTCAACAAGCGGGTAGGCTCGGGCTAAGCGAAAAAAAATAAAATTCAAAATTTGAAAAAATATCAAATGAGAAGGCATGACAGGATCCTCACCACGTCATCAACAACAGCCGGCTCATACCCGTGAATTTCTCCAGGTGAGAGTCCTTCCATCGCTAACACATCAGGGATTAACCGAGTATTTGACTAAATGCGTACCACACCACCGCTTAATGAATCTGACTGCTTCAATCATACAGTACAGTACATATTTAGAACTGCAGATCACACAGATCCCCATGCCAACTCGATCAAATGACACAAAATTTCATGGGGCAGCTGAAACAGAATGGCAACGAGACGTCGAGGCCATTTCTCAACTCACCTGGAGGACTAACTGTTCTTCTTGTTCAATGAGCAGCCATTTATCCTCAAAAAACTTCTACAACCCCTTCTGTTCGAAATCCACGCAGGCAAAAATTCTTAGCTTCCGCCTTCACTCACTTACGGCACAGCATCTTTACCTAATACTGTCCAGATTCTCGATTAACAACACATTCACAACATTCGCAATTCTACGGCACATGGGCTAAACGCGTGCGGAAACCACGGGTACAACAGAGTTCACCGCACAGATGACACCCGCATTCTTTCAACGCCAGCTGTGCAGAGGCTACGCAACAGTTTCATTCCTTCTATCCAGCGTTAAAATGCTATCTGGGACTTCCAGAACATAATCGAGCTCACCAGACTCAGTGAGGCAAATTTAGATTTACAGTACAGTTACTTGTAAAGGTACTGTACTGCAGTTTACTGTACTTTCCTTATTGAATGGAATATCCACATGCGTAGCTGTCTCAAGTTCGAAAACTAAAAAAAAAAAAAAACCTGACGCTCATGGAAGTTAAACTTAATGATGACTTTTTCCCTCAAAGATTCGACAAATTCTGGTGTTTATTGAGAGTTTTAAATACAATAATACGCTTGCTTATAATGTATTGTGCATGTGCTGCTGTATTTAAATTGATGATACAATATATTCGTAAGCTGCAATGGACTTGCACTTTTGGAGTCAAATGTAAAACAAAGTTTATTTTATTTTATTGCTGATTCATTTTTTCTACTTCAAAGTATGGATAAATGACAAACCACGGAAAAACGCTAAACCCAGCCCCATCTACGAAATCGTCGGAAATGCGTCATCCATCATCCACTAAGGACGATATACTTCTGTGGACATGTTATGCGCGGATGGGCTTGATGTCTGCTGGATGCGTTTATAGCCACTGATCAAGACCAATCTCATAATTTGTGTCCCTGTACTTTAGAATGACGCAATAAAAAATAATAAGCAAACAGTAAGAAGAAAACGAAGCATATGGCGTGGTGAATATATAATTTCATCCCACAATTTTGAAGGGATTTATCATATATAGAGAGGACGATCTGGATTTTTTGAAGCTGCATATATGTTTTAACGACACAGTACAGTAATGCACATGTATATGTTTCTTCATGCACAGTTCGATCCGTGGGACATCGTTCGACATTTTTGCAAAAAGACTATGTTCCAAAATTCATTTTTTATTAAAACCTACGCTGCAAGCGAAACGGATTCTGCACCGTACAACAATATTATATAGTACAGCAAAAAAATCGAAGATCAAACAAATGCTCTCCTCATTCCAGAGAAATCCCAACTGATATTATTTTGGAAGTTTTGAGGCTTTTTCTCTTTCAAAATAACCGTAAAATTTTTTTCACGAAGAGCTTGCCATATTGAATATAAATTACTTTGCAAAAGTTTCCGAGCACAGCTATATTTTCAAATTGCTGTCAATTCATTTCTCTCATTATGAAAAAACTAGTTTCTTTTTTGCTTTGGTTTGTTCGAGCATTGTGGAAAACCGCGCTTTTTCTTCTACTGTCCAGCCACTGAATTATATTGAAAACCAATAGCATTGTTTAAAAAATAATTTTGACAAACAGTATTTATTTCTAAAACTTAATGCATTATTGCCCAGCGATTTATTCTTCCTGATCGCCCAGCGTCATAAAGATATACAGTACACTGGTACATTACTGGTATTCCAAACAATTATAGCCCCGTTTTTTTGTATTCTTGTTTTGTTTTGGGTTTCTTATTTTCGCGGAGAAGAAAATTAACAGAAAATGCGAGTCATATCATTGAAGACCAACACTTTCTATATTTCGTTTTTGCCCAAGAACATTTAAATCGAATAAACTTTCACTGCTTAGTATTTCGGGTGCATTGATTTAACTGGTTTTGAATTGCGAAATCTGTATTTTTTGAGCCATAAAATATATTGTAATTCCATTTCATTCACAGAAAAAATACTTTCACAGCGGGTAGAACTACTCACTCATAATTTAAGTTCTGTGTAGTTCTAGTTCTTTTACCGCAGTTTCCATGTTATCGCTTAAAATACACAGCCATCTTTTGTATACGACGAGCGTTGAAATTTTTAGCCATGCTTGAAAAAAAAACATGCTAAATGTAATAATTCTGACATTAAAGTTTTTGAATTACCGTGGAAATGAGAATCTTCAAATATAGTGACTTTTTTCTTGCTTTATTAGGGTACAGGAATTTTTATGCGCCTAAACTTTGTGTAACCCAATCCTTAAATTATTCTTTTACATAATTGAAAAACGCATCGAAATTCATTAAATTATTCTTTTACATAATTAAAAAACGCATCGAAATTCATTAAATTATTCTTTTACATAATTAAAAAACGCATCGAAATTCATGAAAAATGTAGCTCTTATGCTGGCATGAGCCAAATTTAAGCTATTCGTCAAAATGTACGCAAATTGAAGCAAGTTCGTTTTATTTAATGACGCGATGAAGTACTGTAATTCAATTAAATTTAAGATTCATCCCCGTTTTATATTACTGTACTAGTTCTCTCACCATCCATTCGGTCTTGATAACCCAGGTTTGTTATTATCGCTGAGCGCAGATATTTTGTTCTCGTATGTGGATCAAGTTATAAAAATCGAATTTTCAAGGCAATGTTCCAAAAATGTGCACCGAGATAAAATGAGCGTTTCCGATAAAGTCGCGTCCGCGACAAACTTAACGTACGTATAGCACAAATGGAAAATGATTTGAGCAGAGGAAATTGCCAACAAAGTAAAAACCTTTCCTTTTTTTCAACGAAATAACAATGATTTCTCCTACATTATTTTCCATATTTTTCAGAAGCTTGTCCGAGTGGAAGTTGTGAAAAGCTGTTCTGCTGTAAACCTTCATCGAAGCTAACAGAACGTGAACAGAAAACATACTTTTTCGTCTACTGTATGACTGAAGAACATTAATATGCAAATTATTCTGTCTATCTGCTTTTTCTGGATATAATAGAGGATTTTTCGCATGACAAATGTTTCTACTCTATCAATCGTGAAGTACGAAAATCTTATTAAAGACAGGGTTCTTGGGTTAACAGTAATTTGAAACGCGAATTTCTTCAGGTATGCCAATTTAAAAATCGCAATCCATTCTGCGAATAAGAACTGCGGGTTCCATGACAATTACAATATTTTAAGCAAGCACCCGTAGAGCAGCTAGTATATACGCGGTATTTTCATTTAATGATAATTTCCTCATATTTTAGTTTTCTTATACGTTCTCTCATCGTGGTGACACTTTTGACAAGCCTTTACACTCTGCATTATTAGCACCAAGGTATATTGACAAAATAAAACGATTTCTGTCCCAGAATGCTGGTAAAAGCAGACTACAGTTATACTTTCCAGATTTCGGGATTTGTCTGCACGAAGGAGTCATACTAATTTGATATTTTTTACTTGCAAAGTCAATAATAAAGTGACATGGAACTGTGGCATGTATAGACCTGACATGCTGCCGCGGGTGCTCAAAATTTATTTTTCTCCAATTCAACGATAGAAATGAAAAATAAAAACATGATTCATGAAATGGTCGTATATTCGTTTATTGCTCAATAAAAATCAAGTCCTTATCTTCATCCAACACGATAAAGAATACTACGAGATATAGTTGAGAAGCGCAAATCCAATAACAAAGTCTATATGTGAACGGACACTAGAAAAATTCAGCGAAAGGAGTTTTTACAAGAGTACGCCTGTACGCCATGGAGAATATCGTATCTGCTGTTAAGTGATGCCGGTAAAATGAACTCAATTTTCCGCTTGACTCAAAATGAGAACGCTTCAGTTAAGTAATTGCTGATTTACTGTATTGTACTTTATACCGTATGCAAATATGTTATGATAAGGTGTACATAATAAATTGTTGAGGTCGACAAAAAAAAAAGTTTTAAAGGCTATCGGTACCACGCTTACTTTTCATAAGGAAAATCCCCCTTAAATTCCGAGAACGCTCGAAGAATGCTTGTTTTACGCAGTTGTTGATATGACAGATTTCAGAAAAATGCTCGACTCAGCGAAATTTCTGCTTTCTATCATATATGCGAGAATTCCTTGAAAAGATCGGCGAATCATTATCGGGGATTGTTGGCATCCGCTCCACAGAAGCATGCAATAAATAATGATGAATGACGGCGCGGTTTGTCAATGTTTTTTTCCTCATAAAAGCGGAAATCTTCTATGATAAAACGCAAAAATGGGGGGCGGTAGGGACTCTTCAAATTCTTTGGAGTGTTCTTGAGGAAAGGTTTGCGAGGTATACGTCAGAAGAACGTCTTGATCGTACTCTAGCGCCAGAAGAACTTTATCGCTGAAATTCGTCAGGAATTTCCTCCGTATATACAGTATATTCAAGGGCTGAAGGCTGGAATATTAAAAAATAAACTCTCCTTAATTTTCATGCACGAACCCGGGCGTTTAGATAGCTGTAAGATTATGATTTTAAAGGCTTTGTTGGTTCAGGATAAAATCAGAGTGCTTTCATGCACAGGTGAAATCTTTTTGAAACAAATTTATAAGGAAAAAATATTTCCTGACGACTCGCGCAGCGACAATAACTCATCACAAAAGCGGGCTAAAATTGGACTAATTTTATTTTCTCTACGATTTTCTAATTCTTACTTTAATTTAACTGACACGTCAGTGGAACAGACGAGGCAATAAAAATATTTTCTCCTCATTTTTCATTGTAAGATCAGCCACGTAATAGTGTGTGTAGGTCAATGACAAAGAAAATATAATTCGTTAAGTAGGGTTGCAGTCAAGGTTTTCGTCTAAAATGAATTTTGTACTTCCGGAATTCAGAACACAATAAGTGTTCATAAATCAATAATTTTTTCAAATTAAATGGTACAGTATTTGTAATTTTTACACAGACAAGTTCTTCTCTTATTACAAAAGAAAATTAATCTCTCAACTTTTCTTCGTCCGTTTCGTGTTTCCTGTTTTTCTTTTTAATGCAGGTATTTTGGTGGTTCCTCTTGCTACGATAGTATCTCGCTCAGTCCATGTAGGACTTTTTCGATTTTCAAGGTATAGCTGATTATTTTGTAATTGGTGTTGGGTGTTTTATTTTTACTTTGGTTCATTTTGTGTGATATCGCACAAAATGAACCAAAGTAAAAATAAAATGCCAATAATATTCGCATGCGTATGTTCGAGAAAATTAAAAAAGAAAATTCGATAGGAAATGAAATATTTTAGTAACTTATGAAAAGCCTCAAAAAGTTTTTTTTTTCAATAGTATTCGAAGAATCGCCAAAACTTGGTGTTTCCATAGGAAAGCGCAAAATTTAACGCTATCTGTACGGTTTTGCTTTGAAGAATATGCTTCGATGACGGCAGCTGACCGGACACGACCCGACGAATTATTTCAGTTCGTGGCCCTGAAATAAAACATTTTCGAGCATTTTATGCACAAAGCTTCGCAGGAGAATTTAAAAAGCAAAAGTAAACTCTTGCGTTTTCCCTAGGACTCGAAAGAACAAATTTGATCGAAGAAACCAAGGCCCACTCGAGGGAAAAAGAATTCCCGAAAATATTTTTGACACGCGTGACTGCGTGAAAAAAAAAATCTACACCAGGATTACGTGTCCATTTTTGTGTGTTTTTGTTGTTGTTGTTTTGCTGCTGTGTGTAATCACCATTGATCATCTCACCATCAGTGTCGGTTTCGGTTATTTTTCACGTCGTCTCATCCCGGTATCGAAATCGTGACTGGAATACGGAAAAAATGAACACAAAAATGTGTGACATCCGACTATCTTTTATTTCGGAAATACGCATCAAAACATATTCGATTCAGCCGCATCGATAACAAAAGATTTTATAACTCCACTGAGTCCCGAGCTCATCACTTTTCAGTCGATGACCAAATTCAGTACTCAGTTGAACATCATCGTGTCCTCTGGATTTTTTTTCACTTACCATTTGACGTAATTTTTTTTTGTAATTTCAAAAAAAATTAATGTTTTATTTACTACACGTCTACACTGAACTTTCCAGGGTTTGGTTAATTTTTTCAATAATATATGTTCATATTTTAGTGAGTGTGCATGCAACAGTTCATGGGATCCTTTTTGGGGGATGCAATTTTGGCGGTCAGCAAGCTGGCGACTGCCCAGAAATGCAGGTGCAAAATTAAGAAATAAATAAAGCAAGGAATTTATACAGAGAACGGTTTGAGAAGATTCGCTGCTGAGATGTTGTACTTCAATCGAAGATCTTCGGAAGCCCTAAAAAGAATAATTTCCTGGAGAATATTGGCGTATAGACAACATTATTTGGAACGGAGGCCGAGTGTAGAAAATTTGATGCAGTGAATATTTCAATTGTACGCGGGGAATTATTTACTCTACGTATATATAGAAGGTCTTATAAATTAAAAATTTGGTAATTTAGGTTTTGATCCCCCCGTCGCTCAGGGTTACCAAACCGCCTTTTTGATATTAATCCCATCAAATATCATTTGTTCGTCTTTCTTTCCTCCTCATCAGCAGCTTATTGAGCAAGACCTCAATGTATTGATTGCGATGATATAAAACGGTTCAAATAAAGTAGTGTAGTGATTTTCGGACGATTGGATTGAATAAGGATTAATAAAATAGTCAGTCTGGCGGATGGGCCAGAGATTTTTGCAGTAGAAATCGAAGAAAAGGACTTTTTTTTATCTATAGTCTTAATAATGCATAACAGCAGTTTCCATACAAGTTCACGTTTCAAAAGTCAACCACGGATTGCAGTTTTTAATCCTGGTTTCTGTGTCTTTTAGGAAGATGTTATAAGGATGGCATTCGAAGTACTTCCAGATAAAAAATCTTGAAATTTGAATGCTTCCCATCTGGCTTATTATAAGATAGAGAAGGGTGAGTGATTCTGACAACAGTTTTCTTATCTCTATGTGAATAAGAAAATTTTGGTACCACTGTATATATTGCATGTATGTAGCGTGAAAAGAACTGGATTTATTGCTATAAAATGCGTCATTTTTTCATACGATCAAAATTTCCGCTCCATATTATTCATCGACTTGTTCAGGGAAAAGTAAATTCGGTTAGAATGCTGTATTCACGTGATTAGCTTATTCTACGAAATGGGATAATTTCCCGTATCGCATTTTATTTTGATTTCTCAGCGCCTCTTTTTTTCAGTCATTAGATTTTAATAACAGTTTTCCAACTGTGCATTAAATATACGCATACATTATCCATCACTCCTTCATTCTACCCGAGAATTCGAAATTGATCTTCTAGAAATTCCTTGAAATTCTTTTGTGCTAGGACGGGTAATCAAAATAGCTTAATTTTATGTCAGTGATGCTTCTGCATCAATAATGATTTGGGTGTACTGTTGAAAATTCAGAAACGAAAGTTTCGAGTTCGAAGAAGGAAAAAAGGTCGAGTTCTGAATTTATGAAATGCGTCAATGATATTGTACTTTGGAAAAAGAGCTGCGTAATTCCCGCCGAGGAAATATTACGAAGATATGCGGGAAAAAACTAATTCTGAGGAATATTCTTACACAGTACTATTTCCGTAAAGCGTGCTGTACAATGATTTTTTTTTGTTCACTGATGAACGAGGAAATTGGCCATCGATCGCTGTGTGTTATGTTTTTCAATTTCTCATTTCACGTGGATCCTATTAAATATATCCCCTGGAATATTCCCCACTCTTAAAGATTCTTATTTCTAATACGTTTCATTTAATACGCTGCAAGTACACCATGAGAGATCACGGTTTCTTTTTTTAAATTGTTTGACGCCTAATGCAACAGAAAAATACAGTCATTCCTGAAACACGATATTGTTCTTCCGGAATTGAGTTCTCCAAAAAAAGTCGCTCTTCTCAGAAAGACCCTGGGAAATTTCTCAACTCTGATCAGTATTAGGAAGCAAAAACAAAAGGCAACTTAACTGGATTTTACAGGACGCATTTGGAGATAATTTTCCAGCTTCCTGTTCTTTCGTCGACGTGAAAAGCGAGCGTATCGTCAGCTAAGAGCCTCATTGTTGGCCGGAAACCCGAAGTCGCCGCGCGCTCGCGCATTTTTCTTCCAACAAACTAAAGAAAAAAAAAATATATATTACAGTAAAATACAATTTAAAAATGAGTTCACCCAAAAGTGTGTAGTTCTTACTGTCGACTGGCAGAATATTTACAAAGACGGATGGAAATTGTTTTTCTTTTTGTTTCAATTCTATTATGCGAAAATATCGCGTGGGAAGTTTCTAGAAAACTGATATCTGCGGTTTCGAAGTCCGAGCACGGAAAATGGCTCATCGTTGAGCCAATTGAAATTTGAAGCTGCTCATTTCTTCGAAACAGTTTTTTGTTGTTGCGATATTGGATAGTAAAAATAAGTGACGTTATTACAGTATTTAGTTTCCTCTGGAATATTATACGTGCTCGATTAATTAATGACTAAGGCAGCAATTCTGTTGATATATAAAAGCAACCGCTTTTCAGACTCGAGTGTCACTTTTGATTCAACTGGTTTTGAATTGTGAAATCTGTTTTTTGAGACATAAAATATATTGTAATTCCATTTCATTCACAGAAGAAAAAAACGTGTCTGGTGCAGAAGTTATTTTTTTGCTCTGACTTATCGTCAGAAATTCGTTCACCATGTCGGGAGTTTCGGGGACCAATTTACATTGGTCCGACATTCTCGTCATCGTCGGATACTTCGTCGGTATCCTGGCTGTCGGTCTTTACGTGAGTGAAAATCATTTGAGCTGAATATTCTGATTTTCTCCATTTTTTTTTCTCACGTCAAAGGTAATTTACTCTATAGTTTTTCATCTGTCCTCCTCATTTTCTCGCGAACTACGAGGACCAAAGTGTCGATGAGTTGATTAAATTGTTTCGTTGAGTGTATCAGGGAATTTGAGTAGACATTGGTTGGTTATTTTGGATACCTAGAACAATACAAAAACAACTCCTGATCCAGGTTTGTATTATTCATAAGAAATCAACATGTGAAGATAAACTGATTTTGGAGTATCGGGACAAAACTAGACTTAGCATCTGAGATTTTTACTTAGTCCATGAAAATATTATAAGAAAAATGAATATTATATTTCAGACGTTTTCTCAAAGCTGGCTATAGGGTCATACAGCATTATAAAGGTATGCATAAATTATATATCAAGCTCATGCATTTGAATGAACAAATGTGCTGGGTATTTTCAAGCTGGAAAATATTGCATTATTGTGAACTCTGACGGCCTGAAGTCAGATATGCAGCAGCACAATATTTACTTGATTATACCCTTCCCCCAAAATTGAGACCGAAGGGTTTTCAAAAATTCTTATTCAAATCATCATCGGACAACATTACGAATATACAGTACTCTTATTTTAAAAGAGAAGCACTCTGAATGCAAATAATTATAATTTTAGTCATTTGAGCATAACATTTTCTTTGTATTGGTTGCAAATCTTGAATTACAAACATTTTTCACTGAAAACTGGAATTCACGAGTGGACATAGGTTTTTTCCTGATTTTGCAACTAGAAAATTTAGGGGCGCGTGCTGTGGTACTTATTGATTAAATATATGGCAGATAAATTTTGAATGCATTTAGAGAAATAAAGCAGAGTTCTATGATAAGGGAAAAAAATTTCGCCGGTTTTTTTTTTCCTCTAGTTGGAAAGAATGTACCTTTCTCAACATTCGAGTAAAAACGATCGACTGGTCTTATTTTTGGGGTTACGATTTAAATACTGTACAATGCATATACGCGTAAACTGTATATTTTCCTTGGTAATTGAAAATATAGGGCTGCTGATTTCGTAACTAGGCCGTCATATTGAACCAGAACATATTAATTTCAACCTTGAAATAATATATGGAGTAGAAACCATTGCATAATATGTAGGTAGGAAACTTCGAAGCCAGATGATACATTTGCATTCGAGAATTTCCATCACAGTACTTTACCTGGTTCAGTGAACCGATATCAGCTGATGTTCTGAAACCATGCTCGTTCAGACGTAGTTTCCATGCATAAAATCGAACTGTTAGAATAATAAGCGACCAAAGCGCACGAATGAGAATTAAATGTGTGCATTCATCTCCTTTTGATTGAGCTCCTTTGTATACTCGAAAAGAACGGGTTATTGAGCTTGCATTTTTTTATTTATATTTTTTCATTCCGGTTCTGTTGAGCAACTCTTGAGTGTTTCGGGATTCCCAGCACTTATTATGGGTCAGTGGAAAGAATATCTTGCGGCAGGCAGACAATCACATGATGGGTGATCGGCAAGTTGAGTAACATTGGACAGGGACGCGATTCCTGTATACGCATACATAAAGGATAATTAACTTGATCAATTTTGAAAACATTTGATGGCGGAGATCAAAGCCTAGACTACAAATACTGTACTGCATGTCATCAATTGGTTCGGGATAAGAAGACATTTTAAAAATATTTTGAATGTAATGCATGTCGTTACATTCAAACAGGAACGGGAGGAACCGTTTCATACGATGGAAGCTCCTTTTCTGAGAGATTACATATACAGTACAGCAGTTGTAGGTACAGTAATGTAATTCAGAAGTGCCAAATCTGCTAGCAGATCTATCGCAGATCTTTGTGATATTATTCATCACATAATTTCAACACACATCTGGATCAAAATAGCAGAAGCTTCGGTTGCATGGTATTTATAAGAAACACTCCGTGATTATAATATTAATTGTTACGTCCACAACATGTTTCTAAATGAAACTTATCATCCCCTATTCTGCAATGAATGGAGGCAAGCACACTCCATTAGTCCCAGGCACTGTATAGTGCGTTTTATCGAAATAGAATGTTTCATGCGAAAAAATTCATCCGGGAATGGACTAAAGTTCTTATGTATAGGGTCCACTTCGGAATAATTTGCATGATATTTCAGCAATGGGACGACCGTTGAATTTTTTTTAAGGAATAGTCAATTTTGATAAAATTCTTGATCATAAATATTTCAAAAGAAAAATACTGTTCTCGAAAATGCAAATACATCACGCGTACAGGATAGTTCAAACTCGCGTTTACAAATTTGAAACTCAGAATAATAAGCAGCGCTGGTAGAGGGAATAAAAAGATAAATGCAGTGCAGATGGACTCATTTCTCTATAAAACGATCTTGTTAGCAATATTTTCTCAATAACGCATAACGAATGTTCTCTTGAATTGACGTGGTTATTATTCTCAACACCCCGTATTTAACGGGGTTCTTTTTTACAATGAAATCCCCTCTATAACGAACTCCTTCTGGTCCCTGTGAATTTCTTTCTATAGATCCTACTTTTATAATAAGAAAGGTGATTCGGATGAAACTAATGACGTCACATTGGGCTCGCGCGAGAGAAATAGACTGAATATAAGGGACATGTCTGGTGGATGAGTGTAACTAGCACAGTAAAGTATAATAGATGGGCTTTCCCGCTTGTACCTCATTTCTAGTGAATTGAAACATGATCTGATCTCCGTGTCAGTTTCGAGGTTCGAGTTTCTCAGAACGGCGTGTATATGCTGCAGTATATGAATACAGTACTTGCATCATCAGGAGTCTGACTGCTGTAATTTCCATAACAGGACAACTTCTCGCGGAATCACGTGCTGCAGTCAGCATTCCTTATGGGTCCTTTTTGAACCGGGATAATATAAAAATAGCTGATGCTACATATATGTATACACGAGTATATATCTAAATACGGACTTTTACTGATTGAAATCGTGTTTTTTCTTCTTCCGCCCTGTGTAAAGTATTAGCCGGTGGTTTAATCCCCCCATTTGATTAAAAGTAAAATTTTTTTTGAAAGCGATAACATAGAAGAGTTTGTTGGTCACATTGGAATTTGCGTCTCCATTTGAAAAATATACTGTACTTATTTAAACTCTCAATAAATGAAGAGCTGATGTTAAGCTCGAGACCATTACTTTTTTTCTGAAATTGATCAAATGATATTTTTATCTAAATGTACGAGGCAGGAACTCTTTTATATCTCTCAGCTTTTCGTTTTAAAAAAGACTTCATTGGTTTATGATGTATATAATCAATCATGAAATTCAACCTTTAAAATATCAAGGATGAGTGGCTTCATTTTGTCACGAGCCAAATAATTTATCGTCTTTTAAAAGCTTTATTGTCTTCAAGACAAACAACATTTACGGCTATATAAATGAATAGGTGAAGTTTTTTCCGGGAAAAGCGAGGATTTAGTTACACGCAGTTATCCTGAAATTTCGATCGACTGCACACATAATCTTCTTCGACCTGTTGAGGATCATTAAAAAAAAGCGGGTCGAGGTTTCAGGAATTTTGTGTTTTTGTTTCTATCATTTCCAAAATATTCGCAGACATGACAGATAATGGACCTTGAACGTACAATATGTCGATATCAAAAATAGTTACGATAGGATGACTTTTATTTTGTTCTGCTGGCATCTTTTTTATCGTGTTTGAAATTCAGTCGATATTTCATTTTAATCGTTTAATTTTTGAAATTCCTCAAGTTTTTTTTAAATACAAAATCGTTATATGAATAATGTATAGGAAAATTCCAACATTTACCGAATTTAACTGGTGATAACTTGAATTTTTCATCAACAAAACATGAAAAAAAATATTTTTACACCTTCATCGTTTCAAGTGAAACAAACAGCTGTACATGTGATGGAAATCGATACAGGAAAATATTTAGACATCGCGAAATTTCAATAACAGCATATTATTTTCTTCGAATTAATATATCACAATGATGAAAAATAGGTCAAGGATTTATAATTAATTTTATAAATTTTCGTAAAATTTACGGAAAGGTGGGAGGATCAGACAGCCGATCTTATTTATATACTTGTCCACATCGAAAAGTGTTCATTCATTTGAATTCCTTTTGATTTATCATATACTTGAGTTGAAAAATGTAGCTGACTTTTTATTCTAGCATGTCTCATTCGTTTTTATTGTAACTTGCTCTTTTCCTCTTGATGTTATTGATCATTTGATAATCAAAGATATCAGACAATCAAAAAATAAAAACAATTGGAGACTTAT